CTAATCTGCGGATTATCGCTAAATTACGCACCTTTCTCTTGGGCATGTTGATCTCTGGGAGGTTTGCTTAGAAATCAAACTAAAGCTGGTTTAGTTGCGGCTTCAGTGCATGTGAAGACGAGTGTCTCCCCTTAAGCTCGGCAGTGTAGTAAACACAGAGAGGCGAGTGGTTGAATGGGGGGAGGGGTGCGGCCAGCGGCCTGATTGATGGGCTCTCCACCAATCAGGTGGCGCCATTCGGGGCCGCAGAACACTTGGAATTTTGGAGCCGGTGATGATCTGAGGTCTGCGCGGATGGCAGAGGATGGGAGGAAGCGCTCCCAGCATGGAGGGCCTTTCTCTGCCTTCCAGGACATGTTCGCCTTCACGCAAAGAGAGGCCGCGAGGCTCAGGCCTGCGGGGCTGCACGCGCTCCCAGCCATGCATGCGTGCAGGGAGGGCCCGGCGGCAGCGGGCCACATGCCCCGGTGTTTGCAGCCCTGCATCCCCCGCTGCATAGAGCCAACATCTGAGAGATTTCTCCAGAAATCCCGTCTGGGTCCAACATGGCGCCCACCGCTCAACGACATCTTTTTGTTGTTTCACAGTTGGCTTTCCAAAATTTGATTTAGGGAGAAAAAAAACTGGCCTCTATAGAGGTCCAAAGGTGCCATTACTTAAATAAAAAAGTGCATTCTGTAAATAGATATTTATATATTACTATTTTAAATAAACATGCAAAACATATTTATGATTGTGTAAATACACATATCATATATTATTCTCCTCTTTATGCAATACTTTTTGCAGAAAAGGGTGAAATACATGTTGGTTTGTGACTTTTGTTTCCGCTTTACAGTTTTTAAAGAAATGTCAAAATTTGCTTGATCTTTAGTTAGAGTGGCTCAGGTTATCCTGATCTATCTCTATAGTTCTGCTGCTATAGGCTTAGACTGCTGGAGGACATAGGGACCCCTTTTTCATCATTCTGCTTCATTCTATCTCTATTCTCCCACTCTGCAGAATCTGTTAGTTCAATCTCTAACGTTCTGCTCTCTCTGCTTTTTCTCATAGTAGCTTCATCTGGTCTGTTCCTGTTTGGCTGTGACTCCATCCTGGAGAGAAATATCAGCTGTGCTGCTGCCATCAACACCTTTGTTTCTAGATGTTGGAGCTTGGCCTGTTTTCCAGTGTAGTCCTGTTTCTCTGACTGTGACTAACTGGATGTGCTCTCTTCATCCTCTGACATGGGAGCTGGCTCGGAGCTCGTCTGCCTGGCTGTGTGTTTCCTGGACGGGGCCGCCTGTGGAGCTGGTTGACAGTTGCCTTTTGTATCTATGCTTCTTTTTCTATGTCTGCTTCTGTCTCCTTGAACCCCAGTGGGCCTCAGCAGATGGCCGCTCACACTGAGCCTGGTTCTGCTGGAGGTTTCTTCCTGTTCAAAGGGAGTTTTTCCTCTCCACTGTCGCTACAAGCATGCTTAGTGTGAGGGATTGCTGAAGAGTCAATGAGTCGATGCAATCAGCTGGTTTTCCTTAGATAGAAAACTTTGAATCAACCTGACTGGATGATCTGGTGAACTGGAAAGTGACCTGAGATGACATGATGTGAATTGGAGCTATAGAAATAAAATGAATAGAAATTGAATTAAAGACATTTCATCCCAGCGCTGCGTGTCCCGAGCCCGTGACATCATCAATGACCCCTCACCCCCCCACCATGGACTGTTCTCCCTGCTGCCCTCTGGGAAGAGGCTTCCCAGCATTCAATGCAGGACCAGCAGGTTCTGCAGCAGCTTCTTCCCCGCCGCCATCACACTGATGGACTGATGGAAATAATCAAGTCAGAATTCCAGACTGTGCATCACTTTATTCATATTATTTTTCACTATAAATGTTACTGTTTTTTTTTTCATAATCCCTTTAAATAGAAAATAAATACTGAGTGTTTCTGCTTTTTGCACCATAGATATTTATTTATTCTGCACTGCTCTGAACCTTACAGCATGTCTCTCTTGTTTACATTCTAATCATTGCTGCACTTTATAAATGGAAACGTTCATTCCACTGCCAAGCTGCTCGTTTACTAGTGAAAAGCTGTTTGCATCAGGATTTCATTTTGTATTCCCTCTGTGTACAAGATGACAAAGTTTGTCTAAGTCTAAGAAAGTTGACATATTAAAGAAAGAAGGAAGACAATATTTCTTCTTCTGTGGTTTCTGGCAACGGACAGAAAAGCCACCATAGAACAGGGAAACAAAGAAGTGATTTAAATCTTTTATGTTTTCAAATGATTTTCACCAACTTCAGCGCACAGCAACCAACCTGATCAGCTCTGCGTTTAATCCTCCCGCCTGCATATAAACAGGTGTGATGCGGATTCAACGCCATGCGCCGCTCAGCGGCTCTACTCTGTGGATGAACTGGAAATCCCTTTATTGATCTAACACTGGAGAAATTCCATCTCTGCAATTAACCCCTCCCCTTAGGGAGCGGTGAGCTGCCATTGTGTGGCACCCGGGGAGCAGTGTGGGGTTAAGGGGCTTGCAGAGAGGAGGCTGTGGGGATTGAAACCTGCAACCTTCTCAGAGCGCCGCTCTAACCACTAAACCAACACTCACCTTAAAACCAGCATCTGCAGCAGGTTTAGGATTTTATTTCTTCCACCTCATGAGAGATGGTTTAACACTATATTTAAAGAATTGACAATATTATATCCAAATGAATATTTAATTATTTTATTGTTTATTTGTATAGAAAGAGCCAGATTAAAATTTACCTTCTTGGAACATTTCAGTCTTTTATTCCTATCAATCACTTTTTTTATTGTAGAAATGATTGATGAGGATTTTTCTCATTATGATGTTCAGGATTTTCATGGTATTATTAACCAGTTTTAGATTAAATAAAAAAAGTGGGTCTAATGGGTGAACCTGATTTAACTATTTTACCAAACAGTTTCTGTTAATCAAGCATGAAAATAATCTTTCTTCATATCAAGTCTTCTGTAGTTTTTACATAAACATTGAAAAACAATATGAGGCATTAACTCCTTTAATTTAAAATGAATTTCACTCCTGTTCTTTATTTCATCCGAGTGGCAATAATTTCTTTCTAAAGGTTTTTTTTGTGCCATCTGATATTTATGGGTTAAATAGAAAAAGCCCATTTTCTCCGGTTTATTTCCTTATATTCCTCCCTGGGCTCAGCTCCCAACATTCCCAGATATAGATCAAATAGAAAAGCTTCCTGGTTAAATCAGTTTCCCCCTTAACACCTCATTCGGTTATTTGAATCATTGCAAAATCTTCCAATGATGCCACAACAAGCCTGAACTTGGTTAAACATGTGATTAGATGATTAGATTCATCTAATTATTATCATTAAACTTGTGTGTTCCAGTGCAGGAAACCAACAACCCCACCTGGATTTACTGCAGGTAAACGATGAAGGCGGATGCAGGTTTAGGTGAAAGCGTGACATCATCAATCAGCTTCCTGAGGTTAACGTCATTTCTTCTTTTCCATGGTTGCTCTTCCTGCTGACTGTCAGCCACCACAGAAGAAGACTTATCTTCCGTCTTTCTTCATTATGTCATCTTTTTTCTGTGACATCTCTAAATAGTATCAGACATGGACGTAATTTGAGGGGGGACACAGGGGACATGTCTCCTGCACTTTTTACTGTCCATAAACATTGTTAAACTAAAGCACACAGACGGTCGGGCACTAGGACCAAGCAGAAAACCGCAGCTCAAACTGAAGCTCGCTTCAGTTATATTAAGACCCGCCCACAAGCACCTGATTGGCCCTCCGTCCTTTCTTGTGTGATTGGCTGTCACCGCTGTCACTCTGAGAAGCTGGCTTTACAGTTATCTGCTCTGTGATTGGACGCTCACACTGTGCTGAAATCCTAGAGCTACCTTAACTAGAGCTGTAGGTGGAAAGCCTTTATCTCTGTTTTCTGGTACGTTTTGGTTTTATTTTTGAGATAAACTTAAACTGTCTTACAGAAAAACATGGTTCTGCAAAAAACGGCAGACGGTGAAGGAATCTGCAGCTTCTTTTCTTCTCATCTGGTCACGTTATCTAGGAGGGTTTTAACATCCAACGTCTCAATTTAATCAGATCTTTGAATTGGTCTCATGTGTTCGGTTATTAGAATCACAGCCAGGATGTTTAAAAGTCAAAGTTTCATTCAAAGGACTTTATAATATTCCTCCTGAAAAAAACACCTTCATTTGCTCCATAAAGCAGCAGATCTGCCTTAGAAAGCTCTAAATAACCTTGGAACAAATATTAAAAGTGCTGAAAAATCAAATGCATTATTTTTATATATTATTAATAACAATCTATTTATTAAGGTGATTTTATAGATTGTTGCACCCAGATTGTTCACATCATGCATCCGTATATTTGTGAGGAGAGATAAAAGAGAAAGTGGAGGAAATAAACAGAAGATCTACGCTGAACTTTAACACTTATATTAGAAAATACTAAGTAGAGGGATTCATTTATTGACACAGTTTTTATTTAGTGGATATTTTTTTTTTAGCCCCAGAAAAAAAACAGAACACAAAAACTATAAAATGATTAAATGAATCTACCACATAATTAATAAATAGCACGAAGTTAAAAGTAATAAACATTTTAATCCCAGACAGAAATGTATGAAATGTAAAGATTTATTGATGTGATAAATTGTGGCTCTTTTAGGCCTCCATACAGTCTTGCAGCAGAAGCCTGCAGGGGGCTGCAGAGCCGCTCTGATGAAGCTGTTCCTCATAAAGACATAAAATCACTTTAAATCCTTTAGATGCAGATTTATCTTCCAGCAATGCGCGTGCATGTTTGAGCGCGATCTCAGACACGCGCTGCAGACGCATTTACTCGGTTCAAAACGTTACGAGTCTGTCTGAGGCATTCAAACCTCGATGTGATGCCATGCCAGGGGGGAGGGGAGGGGGAGGAGAGAGGGTGAGGGGGCGGGGGAGGAATGCGCTCTCAGCTCCAGCATTCTCTCTCCTCTCACAGCTCCGTCCAGCGCGCAGAGCCAAAGCTTTTGCGCAGACATTCTGCGCTGAAAGACGCGGTTCTCTTTCCCATTCTTGGAAGTCGCTCGTTGTTTTTGGATTTTTTGCACCTCTGCTGCTGCATCCGCCTGCAAAGGAGCACAGATTCACTACAGCAGCTTGTGAGAGACTGGATCAGGGATTTAAAATGGTGATTAAAGTGTACATAGCCACGTCTTCTGGATCCACCTCGGTAAGGGACCAACAATGGCATGACTTGTTTGCTGGAGGTTTTTGTTTTTAGCAGGATTGACTCCCAGCATCCATGGATCTGTGGAGGATTAGCTGAGGTTTCCTCCAGGCTGTTAAAGAAGCTCCCTGACGCATCATGCAGCTGCTCTGTGGAGAAGTTTGGAAGCACCCAGGGGCGTGAAAACTTTGTCAAAGAAGGAAATAGAGGAAGTGTGAGGCAGAATGACAAACAGCTGTGGTTTGTAACAGTCAGAGCTTCCGGATGTCAGAGTCTTTCTTCTGCCTTCAGATTCCATCCAGAAAAGAGAAAGAAAATCAATAATGTCACCTGATGCTCTGGGGAAGCAGGCTGGAAATGTCTCTCTGGGGTTTTGCAGAATTCAGGATTATTTGCTTCAGACTTGCTCCTTCCACAGTGAATTGAAATGATGGTGATGCAATTCTCCTCACTTTTACACCAGCAGCTGCAGGACTGAAGAATTAAAGGACCACAACTTTAGTTTGTCTGCATTAGTATTCATTATTATTCTTCGTCTTTAAACTACGAAACTAATTATAAAGATATTGGTATAAGCAGAAAATATGAGGTTGCTTTGATAGACCTTTAACACCCCCCCCCCACCAAATGCAACGGTAATTGCTGTAAAACATGTTTCAGATTCAGGAGGCTGATTCACTTCCACTGGACTGATCGTAATTTAGAAGACATGTTGGAGAGAAATGTCTAAGGTTACATTTAATTCACAATCGCTTAATTTTCCGCCATTGTTCCAGCATTTCAGTCCTAATAAGTTAAACCACAGTTTGTGATTCTAGTGCATCAGAATAGGAAAAAGTTCCAAAGGGCGTGAATACTTTTGCAAAACGCTGCTTGTTTTTTTAGCTCCCATCTGAGAAAGTCACCAAACATAAAGAGTTTAGAGCCGAGTTTAGAGCTCAGCGTGCGGTAGGACCGAGTTTAGAGCCGAGTTTAGAGCTCAGCGTGCGGTAGGACCGAGTTTAGAGCCGAGTTTAGAGCTCAGCGT